TAGTGACTTATCATTTTAGACAAGGAGTGGACTTTTCCAGTTCACCGTAGTTTCCAGTAGTCTGCCTGACCTTGTAAACATCATATTTGAGACCCCCATCTGTCTCAAAGCTTTTACTTCTAGCATTTAGCTTCAAGGGGGAAGATGAATTAACATTTAATCAACAGCTTATTTTCAGGGTACATTGCTGTTGCTTAGGGAAAATAACCAACCCAGTAAAAGAATATATGGGAGAGAGTGCGTAACTTTGGTCAATTTGTGGATTTGGTCATCTTTTTGCTGTAAACGCTATTGGCATATCAAACCTCCCATCACAAATGTTCCCTCTGAAATAGTAACATGTCCTTCTATCTTATGAGTTGCCACCCAGTGAAGGAATCCCTCCCACTCCCTAGGGATGTTCATCCACCCTTCACTTGACCACTTCCAGCAGCCAGTGAGCTTATTACCTCCTCACATGGCAGCCAGTTCCATTCTTGGACAGATACATTATTTTAAAATTCTTCCTTATGTTGAGGCAGCTGCTGCCTCCTTGGGACTAAAAGCCACACGATGCTGGAGCTGTAAAGGGAAAATGATTTTTTCAGGCTGAGCTACCATTCATCTACCCTGCATCCAGGGCAAACATTGCTATTAATCACAACACTTTTTCACACTAAGCCAGGGAGGTAAAATGAAGCCTTAAGTTTTTTTTTTTTTTTTTTTTTTTTTTTTCAAAGTCCTCTTTAAAAATTATATGTATTCACTTCCAACTAGTGAAATAGTACAAAGTTATATGAAGAAACTGTTAGTAATTTGGGACCAGCAGTTGGCGTAATGGCTATGTCATGGGACTCCCATGTAGTCAACTACAGTTCAAGTCCTGGACCCAGAGGATTAAACTCGTGCCAGGCGTGTATGCGTGCATGCCCAAGATCCCAAGAGGAGAATGGAGAAGGGATTGCGGCATGGCCATCCCCCCGAGGGATGATTTCTCGCTTTCTGTCTCTATCTCTCTGTCTTTCTGGTGAGCGCACGTGCCCTATAGCAAAAACCTCTCTGAAAAATAATAATAATTCCTGGGTCTCCTAGATAATCAGAGTTAACACTATAAGGTATAGTTCCCCATATGTTTTTGTATTTTGTTTTATGTTTAAATAACTTTTTAATTTTATTTATTATTATTTTAATTTCCTGTAAGGCATGTGCACTCACCAGAGACAGACATACAGGGAGGGAGAGGTGAAAAGACGTGAGCAAGCAAGCTGCCAGGTCTGGGACTTGCACTACAGTCAGCCATGTGGGAGTCCAGCACCTTAACCACCACATATCATATTGTACATATTACTTTGCAACGTATGGACATCGCTCCAAGTTAGTAGTTACAGATCACATACTGTATATAGATTTCTTTCTTTCTTTCTTTCTTTTAATCTTATCAGGATCAAACATGTTTTTAGTAGGTTCATAATACTGCATTGGGTTTGCCTCAATTATTATTAATTCTCCATTGATGGATATTCCCATTGCTTCTTGTCTTCAGGATCCTTCTCATCGCAGTACTCTAAGCAGCCACTGCTAGTCAGTTGGAGTTAGCTTGTGAGGTTAAAACCTCTTTATTGTGTCTAACCCAACCCAGCTCCTTATCGCTCACATTTTAGAGAACAGAAGCAGACTAGCTCTAACATCAAAGTGAGTCAGTGGTTGGGGCAACACTAGAACTGAATTTTCTGGACTTTCAACATTTCTTTTGCCCCAAGTTGCCTCTCACTTAGCGTCATCTACCCTGGTTCTCTCCTCTGGAGTGAAAGAATAAATCTAATCATCAAAGTCTTGAGGACACAGAGAATAGCATACCTCTCAGGAGAAAGTTCCCTAGCACCTTCTTTTTTTTTCAGGCCAAGATTTTAAAATCCTTTACCATCCTATAGATGATTTCCTTCTATCATTTCCTCCAAGACAGTAGAAATCCTAAGTGTAGCTTTTACATTCATCACCATCTTTAGCTTTTATTTTTTAAGAGGTTTTTGGCTATAGGTCGTGTGTGCTCGCCAGACCAAGAGAGACAGAGAGACAGAAAGCGAGAAATCACCCCCCCAGGGAGGATGGCCATGCCGCAATCCCTTCTCCTCCATTCTCCTCTCGGGATCTTGGGCACACACGCACACGCGCCCGGCGTGAGTTTTAAACCACCGGGTCTGGGATGTGAACCACGGTCGACTACATGAGAGTCCAGCAACATAGCCAGTATGCTAACTGCTGGTCCTACCATCTTTTGCTTTTCATTCATTCAGCAACTATATATTGGGTCAGCCCTGTGGCCTGGTGGTTAAGGGAGCTAGATCCTACATGGCCAACCATATGGTTCAAATCCCAACCTCAATGGCTTGAAAATATTCCAGGTGTATGTGCCTACATATCCTAAATTCCAGCAGGATGGAGAACTAGAGAAGGGATTGCAGTGTGACCATGTCCCATTGGAGAGCACTTTCTACCCTCTCTCTCCCTTCTCTTTCTCTCTTTCTATTTCTTTCTGGTGGGCTTTTGCACCCACTAGCAAAAAAAGAGAAAAAAAGAGAAGAAAAATAAGTGTGTGTGTGTGTGTGTGTGTGTGTGTGTGTATAAATATATATTGAATTGAGCCCCTTCAACATGACTGGCAGTATCTTAAGCAATGGCTGACTATAGGTTACATTTTGGTGTGGAGAGAGAAACAATAAACATAAATTAGATGATATTTGGGACACCAGCCAGTGGCATGGTGGCTAAGGCTCTGGATCTGACATGGCCAACTACATGATTCTAATCCCAGACTCAGCAGCTTGAAACACACACTGAGTGCATGTGTATTTGTGCCCAAAATCCTGAGAAGAGAATGGAGAAGGGATTGTAGCATGGCCATCCCCCCGGGGGGTGATTTCTCACTTTCTCTCTCTCTGTGTCTCTCTGGTGAGCACATGCACCTTATGGCAAAATCTTAAAAAAAAAAAAAAAGTATCCAAAAGTGCCAAAGTTATTATACAAAAGAGTAAAATAGTATTAATATAATTGGCCAGGGCAGAGACTCCTTAGATTGGATAGTCCAAAAAGTTCTCTCTGAGGACGTGACGTTGAAGCTGAGACCTGAATGACCAAGTATGAACCTAATCCTATCTTGGCAAGTTCAGTGAGTCTTTGTATGGAATTCTCAGTCCAGAGAACCTCAGTCCTCTGGCAGCCAGAGGGGGATGGAGTCCAGTGTGGTTTGGGGATGCAGCCAAGGGCACTAGTTGCAAGAGAGACAGGCAAGGGAAATGTTGAGTGGAGACCTGGATTTTGGGACATGGAAAAAGGCTTCAGAAACCAGTCAGCTAAATAGGCCTCTTGTTTGCCCAGCTGAAGTAATTCCTATGTAGTTACTGCCGAGGGGAAGAATTTGGACACTTTCTTGCTTAAGAGTTTTTGCCCTTTCTCTGGTGGGGGGGGGGGTTTGCCATAGGGCATATGCCCTTGCCAGAGGGAAACAAGAGTCCTGGAGAGGGAGAGGGTGAAATTACCCCTGAAGTATGGCCACACTGTAATCCCTTCTCCATTCTCCTCCTGGGATTTTGGGCATGTATGCCTACATGCCCTACATGATTTTCAAGCCTCTGGGTCCAGGATGCAGACCTCAGTCAGCCATGTGAAAGTCCAGCTCCTTAACCACCACACCACCTGCTGACCTTGGGAGTTTTTGGCTTTTAATCTGTCCTCTTCCTCTCAGGTTGGCATACCCTTGTCTCCCAAGGAGTCTGAATGATGGGCTAGCATCTCTGGAAACCAAGGGGACTTTCCAATCTAGAGGGCTTCGATCTGGAGCAGCCTTCAGGGGAATGGAAAAGAAGATGGAGAGAGAGATTCACTTTTAGAGTAGAGATGGAGGGACCAACGGGTGGCATGGTGGCTAGAGGTGCTGGACTCATATAGTTGATTGCAGTTCAAGTCCTGGACCTGGTGGCTTGCATTCTCACTTTCCCTATCTTTCTTTCTCAAAACTGGAAAATAATAATAAAATAAATAAAATCATTCTTTTTTTTTTTAGAGGGTTTTGCATAGGGCAGAGAGAGAGAGAGAGAGAGAGAGAGAGAGGTAAACAGAAGGTGAGAAATTACCCCCCAGGGAGATGGCCACACCACAGTCCCTTCTCCTCCATTCTCCTCTTGGGATCTTAGGCATGCACACACATGCACCTGGCGTGAGTTTAAGCCATCGGATCCAGGACTTGAACCATGGTCAACTATGTGGGAATCCAACAACATAACCATTACACCATCTGCTGGTCCCCCCCAAAAAAAAATTTTTTTAAATATGAATAAATAGAATAGAGATGGAAGGAATATACCTTTTCCAGAGGTGGGGGGGAGCTGGGTTGGAGGAAGTGCAATCCCCTTAACTGTTGGTGATCTCAAAAAGGCTCTGTCCATGTGCATACCAAAGGGTTGATAGGTAACTAGGCAATTACTGATCACATGGTCTCCATTGGGGCTATCACCCCACTATCTGCCCCCAGTGTAGCACAGTGGGTCTTAGCTTGAAGTAATTTAAAGAGCCCTTCTGGTCCTTATAGCAAGTAAGTAGTTCAGCTTTCAGAGATGGCCAGAGACCAGCAAGGTTAGGGAGTGTTCTTGGATAATATGTCTATTTAATCATGTTACCTTGAGCCAGATCTGCATTAATTTAGATCTTCTCTCATAATTTGAAGCTTGTTCTGAAAAATCTTACCAACTTACTCTCTGTTGTAAATCTGCACTTCCTTCAACCCTGTGACAGCTGGTATAAGAGGCAGTACCTTCTTACTCTCTGAAATGGGTCTCTTGAGTCCCAATCAAGCCTTTTCTCTTTTCTGGGGATTGGAGAGAAAGTTGGTTTAATGTCTCCTGTTTGTTTCATCTTTCTTCCAGGAACCCAATGGAACAAGTACCCACGAAGAAGGCATGTGACCTTCTTATCCCCCTCAAACTGCACTAACCAGGCCAGCTTTAGCTCCCTCATTCTATCTGACCCCTTTGCTTCCTTTTCTAGGAGCCTGGAGAGGTGTGGCTGGACCAAGATCTCCCCCAATGTGAACAGGCTTCCTCCTCCCCCTACCATCCATTGTCATCACGCCAGGGAACATCTTCAGGCCCTGGCCCTCAGGGGAGAGGTAACAGAAGCCCGGAGCCGAGACCATGTGACGGCGCTGGCCCTTGCCACCGCCGTCCCCCCCACCCTGGCCCCAGGCCTGGCACCATGATGTTCCGAGACCAGGTGGGCATCCTTGCTGGCTGGTTCAAGGGCTGGAATGAGTGTGAGCAGACAGTGGCCCTGCTGTCACTTCTGAAGCGGGTCACCCGTACCCAAGCCCGCTTCCTGCAGCTCTGCCTGGAGCATTCACTTGCGGACTGCAATGACATCCACCTGCTGGAGTCGGAGGCCAACAGCGCTGGTGAGTCTCTACCACTAGAGATGGGAGTACAACAAGAGGGAGACCTGGAGCAGATGTGAGGTAGCTGAGGAGGCCGGTCCACCAGTGGTGCTAAGAAATGTGGGTGTTAGGCCTGTGGGTGGGCAGAGTCCCTGACCTCCCAAGTCATCATCATAGGTCTCCTGGGGATGTATTGCCAGATATTCTCAGGCATAGAATGGGGAACCCAAAGGTAGATTGGACTTAAGGTATGAACAGCTTTGGGAGTTTTGAAGTTTAGATAGAGTCCCCGGTATCAGTAGAGAGGTGCCCCTATGATCCTTGAGATTGGTATTAGGATGAGTGAGCCAGGCTTCTTCTCTAGAACCTATTTCTCAGACCCCTGTTATAGACCGAAGTCAGGCCAGATAACCATCCCAAAGGCCACTGCTAAAGCCATTCTGGCCTTCTGGACCTCCACAGGGCTAGATGGAGAGTTGTTGACCCCAGTAATGGGTAAGAGAAGTGGAGCCAGGGAAGGAGGGAAGAGTAGTGGAAAAGCTAGCTAGGAAGGGCTCTGAAGTGCAGAGTCCGTCCATATTATTCACCCTAAATTTTCCCACCTTCTCCATAGTAATAGTTCACATTAAACCCTTATAATAGACCATTTACTACCTTGTGTATTAACTTGTTTTTTAGATACTTCATTTTTTATTTCCCCTCCTCCCTCCCTACTCATATATTAACTTTGAAAGGGGTGGGTTTGGGTGGCTCTGGAGTCAGACTGTCTGGGTTTAAATCCCAGTTCTGTCAATTGTCATGTAACAAAATAATTGAAAAACTCTGTGTACCTTGATTCCTTATCTTAAAAATTAAGCTGATAGGTGATTTCAGCAGGTGGCTTAATGGTTAGGGCACTAGACTCCCACATGGCTGACTGAGGTTTGAGTCTTGGACCCAGTGGCTTGAAAAATCATGCAAGGGATGGGACCAGCAGTTAACGTAATGGCTGTGGCACTGAACTCCCATGTAGTCAACCACAGTTCAAATCCTGGACCCGGTGGCTTACATACCGGGTGCGTGTACGTGAGTACCCAAGATCCCAAGAGGAGAGTGGAAGAGAAGGGATTGCGGTGTGGCCATCCCCCTGGGGGTGATTTCTCGCTTTCTGTCTCTCTGGAGAGCGCACACACCCTGTAGCAAAAACCTCTCCCCCCCCCCCCCCAAAAAAAAAAAAAAAAGAAAAATCATGCAAGGGAACCAGCAGATGGCATCATGGACTCCCAGTCAACTCCTAATAGTGTACAGCAGTTCAAGTCCTGGACCTGGTGGCTTAAAATTCACATCAGTGTGTGTGTGTGTGCGTCCCCAGAATCCCAAGAGGAGAATGGAGCAGAAGGGATTGTGGTGTGGCATTACCCCTCTGGGGGTGATTTCTCACTGTCTATCACTCCAGCAAGCACATGTACCCTATAGCAAAAATCTCTCTTAAAAAAAAAAAAAAAAGAAAAGAAAAACCATGCAAAGTGTGTGTGCAAGCGTGCCCAAGATCCCAAGAGGAGAATGAAGGAGAAGGAATTGGAGCATGTCCATTCCCCCCTCAGGGGTAATTTTTTGCTTTGTGTCTCTTTGTCTCTATGACGAGCACACACACACTATAGCAAAAATTCTCTTAAAAAAATCAAACCAATAATTTTATCTACCTCTCATGGTAGTTGTTAAGGGTCAGTAAGTTAACACATGTGAATGGTGCCTCGCGTGTAGTAAATACTCATTAACTGTCCACTGTCTTATTGTCAAGTGACGCATTTTGTCCTCAACAACCACATGAGACAGGTACTATTATTATCCCCATTTTATAAGTGAGGGAACCAGCATGGGCTACTAGGATTGGGTTTTTGGGAGCCTCAGCATTGCCTGGCTTCCCTCACCTTCTCAGGCCCACCTGCTCTAGCATCAGTCGCCTTTATTTTACTGGGTTTTTATGTATAAGTCATAGAAGCACCATGGTTGTAGAGGAACATTAGGAGTCATAACAGCTTAATTCCCAGTCTGGCAGACAAAGTGCAGTAAGAGCCCAGCTCAGCTGCAGCAGGCTCAGAGCTGAGCAGCTTCTCACCTCTGCCTTCCTTCCCAGTGGGAGAGGCTTCCTTGTGCTCTGGTATCATGAGTAGGAGTACTATTTGTGGTGTGGCTCTGCCCCCGCAAACAGAAGAGTTGAGGTTCCTTTGATTCAAGCCAGTGTTTTATATATCTTCATGACAGTTTACACAAAGAAATTGAGGTCCATCCCAGATAGTTTGCATTAGTACATGGGGCGTTAGTGCCTAACCAGGGCTGAGAACTGTGGAATTAATTGAATGATTAATAAGCATGTGAATGAAGGTCTTTGTCCATAGTCCATGACAATGAGAATATAACAAGCTGGTACTTAGATGGATGGTGAGAGAAGGAAAACTTACAATGAGGAAAAAGAGAGGGGCAAAAAAATGTGTTCTAGAGTCAGGAGGAAGTGTGCCAGAATTAGAGCAAAGCATGACTTGAAAAGAGGAGTGATTACAAAGGTAAACTCTGTAGGGCCTTGAATGCCTCTTTTCTAGGAGATATGAATGTTCCAACAGTAAGGAGGCTAGCATCTCCTGTCCCACTCCTATCCTCAAATAGGAACCCCTCTACCCCTTATTTGTAAAGAAAGAAGTTACTTTCTGGGCCTGCCCCATGTGAGGAGCTATACCTCCTCTAACTCTTATATTCTATTCCTTATGGTCCTACCATTCCCTTGTATTTCCCAAACTTTATCATCATCAGAATCACCTGAGATTCCTGGTAAAACTTATATCCCTGACCCTGTGCCCACTAAATCAGAATCTTAAGGGGATGGGCCTGGGAGTGAGTTCTCAGGTTCTTCTGATGACCGGGTGTATGAAAGATGGTACCTTGCTGGATGATTGATTGTTGTGGGACGTGAGAGTAAGAATCCCGACACCCAGGCATTGTAGATCTAGCTGTGCCACTAACTCTCTTGTGACCTAGGTCAGTCCCACCCCTCTTGGGCCTGAGGACTCTTCATCTGGACAGTGAGGGTTCTATTCTAGGTACTCTCCAGGTGCTTCCTGGGCTCTTAAGTAATGTGTCAAAGAAGGCAGAGCCACAGCCTAGCACACTGTATTTGATAGCCCAGCATATTTATCTATAGCATTAGTTCTTAATACTTAATAGGGGGACCAACAGATGGTGTAATGGTTACATCGCTGGGCTCCCACATAGTCAACTGCAGTTCAAGTCCTGGACCCAGTGGCTTAAAATTCAGCCAGGTGCTTGACAGTCATGCCCAAAATCCCAAGAGGAGAATGGAGGAGAAGGGATTGCAGCGTGCCCATCCTCCCTGGGGGGCTTGATTTCTTGCTTTCTGTCTCTAGATTTCTCAGCAAGTGCACATGCCCTATAGCAAAAACCTCTCAAAAAATAAAAAATAGTAGAATCACTCTTCAGAAAATCTGCCCTTCCTCCCCCGAAAGATATATACTGACTCCACAAACCAAATCTTGAGTTCATTTGGTTCTCTAGTCTCCAGTTAAGAGCTACCCATTACAGGGTTTGAAGCCCTTCTTCAGCATTTCAGATCCCTTTGAGCCAAGAGGGCTGAATAATGAGACAGATCCCCTGCTTTTTTCTAGGTTTATTTCCATATCCCACCCAACCAATCCTGCAACTTCCTCCGTTTCTCCAGGGCAACCTGGTCTCGGTTTGCCTGCCTTGTTCCTCCTCAGGTAGGATAGGGAGCACAGAAGAATTGACCTAGACAATTGTACTATAATCCTGTTTCATGTCAGAATTCCCCAGGGACTTTGTAAACATAATCTGAGGCCTAGGTCCTTTCCCCAGAGAGTGAAAGCTTCTTAGCTGACTTGTGTACACCCAGTGGAGAGCCACTTGTCTTGATGCTGCTGATGATTCTGGGCAGACCCAGGAAGATAGTGAAGGTGCTGTTGTATGACCTACTGGATGTAGGGAGTGGGGGCTTACAGCTTTGGGAGGGTGTCAGACCAAAGCCATCCCTTCCTCTTAAGTGTCCGGGAGAGTTTTGGGAAGTCTTCCAACTTAGGCAGCCAGTGTTATTTTCAAGGAAGTAGAACCTGAGGCAACACCCAGGAACAGGAAAGCCATACTCTGGGGAATCTCTGGAACAGGAAGAGGCTCTAAGTTGCCTCCGTCATCCCTATTCCTCCTCCTAGTACTGTCTTTCCTGCCTGTTTGGAGCTGTAACAGTGATCCCAGCCCACTCCTTCCCGTTGAGACTGACTTGGACTAGAGGGCAGGAGGGAGGAGACTGGGCCAGGGGAATTGGATTCCCCTTCCTTTCCAAGGTCCTCTTATAGCTTCCTGGGCTACATTTCTTGCATTTCTTTGTACCTCTTATTCTCTGAGTCAGGCACTGTATCCAGCAGGTCTAAGTTCCTCCCTCTCTGGCTCACTGAATCTGGGTGGTGAAACTGAGGTCAGGAGGAGGCCCTGATGAGTGAATCACCAGAGTTCAGCCCTGATGCCTCCACCCTCTGCTTTCAGGCTCTAGTGACACAGTTCGTCAAACAAAAATGTGAGTCCCCAGCCCTCCCCCATGTCTGTGTGAACTGGAGTAAAGCAGAGAAGGACAGGTTTGGAGCCAAACCCCAGCCCCTCTGACCAGTGCCTGAGGCTGATTGTTACAACAGCCCAATAAAAATGGGTTTGCTCTTTTTTTTTTGGAGAGGTTTTTGCTATAGGGCGCATGCCAGACAGAGAGAGACATAGAGACAGAAAGCGAGAAATCACCCCCCAAGGGGGATGGTCACGCCACAGTCCCTTCTCTTGTCTCCTCTCGGGATCTTGGGCACGCATGCACACGCACCCGGCATGAGTTTTAAGCCACCGGGTCCGGGACACGAACCGTGGTCAACTACGTGGGAGTCCAGCGACATAACCATTATGCTAACTGCTGGTTCCCAAAATGGGTTTGCTCTTAGGGCAGTTTCAAAGATACATTTGGCTTCTGTGATTTACTA